AAACCTTATCACCATGCTCCAGTATTTAAAGTGGGGCTACAGTTAAGATGGAGACTCCCTTTTTAAAAGGAGTCCCATGGAAAAGATACGGGGTAATGGGCACAAGATACTCCTGAGGAGATTCCAAATGGACACGAGGGAAATTTTTCACAATGAGAATAATCAGCCACTGGAATAATCTCCCCAGGGAAGTGGTGGATTCCCCAACACTGGACACTGTTAAGATTCAACTGGACAGGGTGCTGGGACATCTAGTCTGGGTCATGCTTTGCCTGGAAAGGTTGGACCAGATGATCCCTGAGGTCCCTCCAACCTGGTATTCTATGGTGTAATCTCCAACATCCCGAATGGCTGAGGATACACCCTCCAAAGAGGACATTGGTATTTAAAACCACTTTTCTGTGGGACAGGCTGCCCAGGTCAGGCAGTAATCTGCCAGCAATAGTCAATTTTCTCCTGGGGTATAAGCAAGCACACTTAAAAGTTCCTTCCAGATGTGGACGCGTGGATGCTGTGGTATTACTCTGTGAAGAGAAGAGTACTATCTTACTCCAGCAGAGTGGAAGGAAGCATGTAAGGAAAGCAGCTCTGGAAGAGTGAGGATGGACAAGCAGTCTCACCAGCACACCACAAGGGCAGCCATCCTCAGGCAGCGGCACGCCAGCCTGCCCACTTCACTCCACAGCCAGGCTCTACATCTACAGGAGGTTTTATCCCAGCAGCAGGGCTCTCTTTTATCTCCATCCCCATTTCTTCACATATCACCAGCAAACTACTGAGAGGCTCTTTACACCGAAGTAAAAAAAAGGTTTTGATGCAATCCTGAAGCAACGTTGCCCAAAGCATTTTTAGTACTCCTGGAGAGTCAGATTTAGTCTGTTTTAAGAAAGAAATAAAACTCCCTTCAGTTTTGTAGCCCTTACCAGATGAAATGCAGATACAAATGGATTGGCTGATTTTGTTTATCAGAATCTAATACACTGCTTGTGGTCAAAGCATTTCCTTTGAGATCCCAACACATCCATCTTCTGGACTACAAACAAGTTAAAAACCTGTAGCCGATTCTTAACAGCAGCAGTATCTGAGACTAAACAAGATGACCACCTGTGAACCAAGGCTGAGCCCTCCTCCCACACACAGGAGGAAGATGCAGTTTCAACAATATCTCTTATTATCTATTTCAGTGTAATCAATAAAGAGCTATCCCAGTAGAGTCCGTAGTATCTTAGGAGTGACTGAATGGGTCAAGCTGAACCATGCTCCCAATTCCTTATGTGGCTCCTCATCTAGGTATTTAGGATCAACACCACTTCAAGCTAAATCCTGTTCAGTGTCACTGACCAGTGCTGGACACCCAGTCATCCATCCCACAACAAACTTCAGACCACAAGTTAAACATCTTGAGTGGACCATCCTGTTTCTGAGACACGCTTGTGGGAAAAGCCTCTTCAGGAACCTGCTTTTCCCTACTTCTGCTTTTAGCCAACTGCCTCAAGACTATAGGATTTTACAAAGGATTAACCAAAAGGATCCACAAGACACTTTATTCACCTCATCATCTGAGGTATTTGAGCTGTTCTGACTCCAGACAAGTTTTCTTCCCTAGGGCTCCAAGCCATTTAATAACCATTAGGAGTGTGCATGTGTAGGGGGGCAGATTTTGCAGAACTACTTATTTAAACCAGTCAGACTCAAATCTGAACACACACTCTTGGGGGGCAAAGCCATCAAAATGCAGTCTCAGCCTGGCAAGTGTATCCACAGAGAGGCACATTCCAGAAACCCAGCTGGCAAAGTGAAACACCTGCATTATGCTGCGTGTTGTATTCTTACCACTCAAACATGACTGGAGACAATAGCACCTCAGACTAAAAAACCTTCTGTCACTGAAATAGGGACTTACACTTTCGACCATCTTCTAGTTTTATCCAAGAATAAAAAAATGAGTTAAACCCCAAAAAAGTTGGGTTTGTCTCCTGTAAAGTTTCCCATATAGATTCCTGTATCAAATAACTTGGGGAAAAAAACAAACCACTTTAGAAATCACTTCAAACAAGTACTCGTGGTCTTGTTAACTGGAACTGACAGGAAATGGTTTCCAGTTTTAGGTTTTTGGCTCCACTGGATTTGTATTTTCATTACCAGCACAATAAATTCCCTGACTGGGAAAGACATTGGTAGTCTGGAAGTGTCTTGGATTAGACTGCATAAAGTGCTTGTATTCGAAACCATAGAGCTGTCAAAAGTGTCCTTTCTGCGATGGGGAATGAGGGGTCCCCAGTATGGATCTTTGCTCAGGTCAGTCTCTCCCAGCTCTCACTGGGTTTTGGCACAGACACTTATCAGCCTCCAAGGCGTTGACCTTCTCCCCACGCAAATCCTCCCGGTCGTTCTTCTGGCAAAGGATTGTAATTGGGGTCATCTTCTGGTGTATCAAATATTGCTTTGCTGGAAAACAGACAAGATATTTCCCCCCTTTAGAATGTGTGTTTCACAGTAAGACCAAGACTGCTCAAAGTCTGCACTTGTAACAGCATCCCCTCTCAGAAACAGCTCGCCAAAGCATCCATCATTTGTACCCAGGTCACATTTTGCTCTCCAGTCAGAACCCTTCTGGAAGAAGGTCTAGAATTATGTGCCTAAATCAACCAAGACTGAGAAGATTCAGCTGAAACAAATCTTTGGTGAAAAACTTTTTCCTTATATCCATGATTACAGCCCTCTGCATAAGAGGGAACTAGGCAGGAGTAGCACCACTCAGTACCATGAACATGGAAGTTTTCTGCCAAACTGTGAAATGAGGATGATTGACAGAAGAAAAAAAAATAGACCTATTATATTTAACACCTCAGTCACTTGTTCGTACACAGCAGGACTCAGCCATGCATCTCTGGTGCCTCCAAAAGACTAACAAGAGTTACCAAAGAAATCAAAGGTTACCCTTTAGCCCTTGTCCTGAGGAACACAGTTCCCACTTCCACACCTGTAAGATCCTCCTTCCCTTGTTTGGCAACGTGAGGTAAGTGAAAAAGCAAGTACAGACACAGCACAGCTCTGCCTCGAGCTGCCTCATTTACCAGGAGTTGCTGTGACTGAACTGTAAACAGTTTTCCACACAAGCACTTTTTCTACATCTGTTTCAGTTCTCATTCACATGTCTTCAGCATTACAACCAGTACTTACAGGACAGACGGTGTTCTCAGAAGCTTCCCACCACCAGGCTGATTGGGAAAGACATCCTCTAAGAAAAAATATATATGCCCAACAGCAATGCCTAGCATGCAAAGAGAAGTCAAATGGTGATTTTTCAACACTTCTCCTTTACAATTCCCAAATGATTCACTAGTTTTTAGGAAAAAAAAAAACCAAACCCCACATATCGATTCTCTCACAGAAAATACGAGTGAGAATAAAGCACACTGACATCAGATGAAAAGCTTAATTTACACTCCAAGACATAAGGCAAACTGCTTGTCATTATTACTCACGCTGATGTTATGGCTTTATTAGTTGATAAAATAGTAATAGAAGCTGTTTTACTTCAATAGGCTGATGCCCACAATCAGCTTACATACCTGGGCTGATTGGAATAATAAAAAGCCAAACCATGAGAAGCTCTTTCCATCCTTGTTACAGCCCAAAATGTGCTGTGATGTTTAGAAATCAGAAAAGTCTGGTATAAATATACTAGACGAACTAACACTAAACGAAAGGCATTTAGCCCCTGGGTTTCTGCACATCTTGTTTCGTGTAAAACACTGGCAGGAACAGATCCTTCAGATTCTTGCAAATGCTTACCCAGGAGATCCACAATGATGGAGTTCCCCAACAGCAGTGAAAAGCCCATCAATACCCAGGGTAGAAATGGGGCTTGAAAGATGAGAAGACCAAAAAAGTTCATACGGACATAGGGATTCCTGCGGCTCCACACGTACACGAGCATTATTGTGAAAGCCTGGCCCAAGAAAACCAAGTTCACAAAGAGGCCAAAAAGCTGCAATGGGTAGTTAAAGAAAACAGTTCACCAGGTCGTTGCTGGGAGGTCAAGCACGAGAAGTATTTCACAGCTCAACTCATAATCCTGTGGTTTCCATCCCACCGCTTTCCACATTCAAGTAAGTCAAACCTCCTGAGGATCACACTCAGCACCTACAGCAGGATTCAGCAGACCTGCAGCATGAATAATCTCTTTAACATAATTTAACAAGAAATCACTGAAGCACCAGCACTGCTCTGAGATAAACTGAGCGTCCTTTTATCCATAAGCTCATTCCCATGATCCTCTCAAGCAGTAAAGAGCCGGAAAGACCAGCCCAGTATTTAACAGCAACAACAGCACAACATTCAAAACTACTTCAACAAATAGTGTTATCCCTTGTCCTACAAACAAAACGTATCATCATCTAAGATTTAAGATAAAAGTGACATGGTTTCAGTTCTCATTCATGTATCTTTAGCTTTACTGCAGCAGTTTGGAATAAAAGGATACAGTCATTAAAAGTCCTCCAAAAAGGAACATGAATACAAAATCTGCCGTCCGACCTCGAAAAGAGCCTTCCTCAAGCATTCGGCAGTAACGGTATCTGAAGCCCCAGCTCAGGAAAATCTGATTGCAAATGAGTTTGAAGAAAGACCCAAGTGGAAAAGGACTCAATTCTACAGGAGCTTAGATGTTTTAATCAATTTACTCCATCGACTGGCTCTTTCTGGATACCTCAGCACAGAGGGTGACCCAGGAAAGGAAAAAAGGCGATTTGGAGTTTTCTCCTGTATGTCAGAACCAACCTGAAAGATCAGGTTTGCACAGCAAAGTCTTAGCACCACAAGTATAAATGGCAAATTCCTTGACAACTTATGAAGGAGATCCTGCTGCTCCCGTTCCTGACACGAGTCAGGTCATCCTTGCTGAACTCCCGGGAACTTCACGGTGGAGCAGAGCAGAACCTCTGCCTACGTGCACGTATAGCAACGTGCCTGTACTCTGGAGTTGTGCTTTCTAAGGAAAGCAAGAGAACTTCATGAAGGATACAAAAAGATCATGTTAAATAAAAAATTAAAGCCAACTGGTCCAAAGAATAAGTAGTTGGTGATTAACCTCCATACCTGGAAATAAGACAAATGGAAGGACTTTAAACATGAATGCTTATTTTTATTGCCTAAGTAGAAAAGCAGGTAACAATGTAACTGAAACCTCCTGTACAGTCCATGAATCTAAGACTTATGCTAAGACACAGTGTTCACCACAGTCATTCGCCACCTCAATTCCGAGAGGACAAGCACTCTCCAACCCAACAGTGTACTTCAAACCCCCCCGTACTTCAGAAAACACTTACTTGAAAGTGCTTAAATATTAGCTCAGGGTTGAAGTACAGCTGAAAAGGTGTGATTAGTTCTAATTGCTGAAAGAGAAGAGAACGTGTGATACAATCAACACACCGGTTACACGCACTCAAGTGAGCGACCCCCTTCAACAAGTTCCGTGGCAGCAACAGCGAGCCTCGACAGCCCCCTCGCCCCGCTCCCGGCGCTACGAGTTACGGTGCTTTGCACCTTCCCAGCTCTGGCAGCGGGGGCCGGGAAGCGCCGCCTGCAGCCGGGTCTCTCCTCAGAGCGCCCTGAGGGACCGAGCCCGGGGTGGAGGTGCCTGAGGTAGCCCCGGCTCCCCAGGGAGC